GGTCCCTTAGACCACCAGCCCACATGGACCAGATTTTATCAGTCCCCTGAGTGGTCTTCTTGTTCAGTTTTGACTGTATGTTTGGCCTTTAATAGAATTGGCCTTCACGGTACACGTACATGTTGGGAGGGGGGGTAACTCTTTACGGTTACATAAAGATATGGTTATATATTATGTCTTAAACACAGATTTCTATACAAGTTTACAATTTTGTGGTTATGTCTCAGATCTGTTAAATAGATTTCTAATTTTATGTCTACCTTCTGTCCCAATAATGAGGTCAGCTAACATAACGTAAATCTTTCCCTACTGAGTGCTATAAGCAGACAAATGTGGTGATTGAACAAGCTTAAATCAGGCAGATATTCGACTGGGGACGTACGTAAGACAAAGACAAAGCGCGATGATGATCGATGAGTTTGGTGACCTTTAACAAATACCTAATTATTTCTCAGGACACACATACTACGTAGGAGAACGAATCAGAATTCATCGGGGAGACTCTGACATGTTTTGTCACTTGAGTGTAATGGAATTTATAATGAGGCGGCACATCTGAGGCCCAGAGGGGGTGTTCTCAAGGACGTGCTTATATTTCACCTTGCTGCAATGTCAGTGTGTGAATACTGAACCAACGCATTTCATCAAGCAGTGCTCAAAGTCACTTCTCAGAAAGTCACCTCTACTGATATACTTGATATTAAAAAGGAATCTAAGGAATCAGCTTAAACTGGGCTCTTCCTTTGGGATGAATTTTGGGGAGATTCAGACAGTGCAGTATATGATGAATTCTACTTCCTTTTTCAGCATTCCACTATGACGAAAACATCATATTTCTTTGTTTGTCAATCAGCAAAATTCATCATGTACTTACTAGATGTCCTGGAGTCCTTTTCTACTATGACATACAAACACAAATTTAACATTTACAATTTGACACGTGACTCTACTTGAATCGACCTTGAATAAAATTACAACTACTGCACACGCTACACAATTACTTCGAAAAAGTTAATTAGAATTCTAAAAAAATGTTTCAGTGAGGTCTGAATTATTACTTGTTTACTTATTCTATTTTTTAACCACTTTAATTATTTTGGTATATTTCTTTGGATCATTTTGTTTGTTTGTTTGTGTCAGGATCTCCATATGGTGTTACAATTCACACTTTCCTTCCTGCAGTCCACAGCAATACAATAAATAAAATATAAAGAACAAAACTTATACAATAATTATTGGTTAATTAACCAACAGAATTAAATGAGTAAACTTCAAGGTGAGGAGGAGAGATACATTGTACATGTACATGATACATGTGACATTCAGAAGACAACAGGGAAGCTGAGGATACGTGTCTCCACTGACGGTCCTGTACGGTAACCATCCGGCTACGCCAGGGGTGCGTCACGCTCTCACACCGTGGTGGAATCGATATGCGCAGATGGTACGCGATAAGCTGCATAGTTAGGGTAATGCTATCAGCCTTAATTGAGCCAATCTATCCTCATCCTCCGGATCACCCCATTTGAGATGCCGTCACAAAACCCGTTCCTCCGTCCCCTACCTGCACCTGGGAAACCCATCCCTTTACCTCACAGGAGCGGCACCAGAACATATCCATCAACGGGTGATCAAAGGGAAATAATGACAGGAAGGTGATACGGAAACTGCCTTCATCATTTATGTCCCTGGCAAGACCTGTCCTATTTCATAGTCATACATGTGTATGTGTCATAACAGGTCAATGTGGGCAGGTCAGTATACAAACTGACCAATATACAACTGAAGAGGTCAATATACAACAGAATAACAGATCAATGATTTCATATGAAATACTTCTTGTGAATTTTTTTATCTATTCCTTATTGTGAATTTAGCAGATTTTACACAGATTTTAGCACCATTTCTACATGTATACAACATCGTGACCCGGTCGGCGCCATCTTGAATCACTCGGCCGACAAAACACAAACTGGGAAGGTATTGGTCGCGCGTGGTCCCGACTCGAGCTAGCCGCGGTCGCGTCAGGCAGGTGGTCTACTTGGGCAGAGCGCTTAATGCTTGTGCCTATGGGAAAATATTTTCGGGACCGGGGAAAACCGGTCTATTTGGCCAGTAGGTCGTCTTGACAAGGTGGTCGCATGGGCAGGTTTGACTGTATATGCATTTTCACTCTTACGGCAGGAAATTGAAGACAGGAAAAGAGATAATCTTTTCTGGAACCTTTGACCTAACTAACTTCTTGTCACTGATGCTGACATGCCTACATATAGCATGTGGACATAAGTACTGAAACACAAGAAAACAGACACATTGAAAACAAAACTTCTGTACATTAGCCTCCACCAGGCCTTTCTACGGGGTTACGGATCGTAGAATTCGACAAAAAAGGGAAGAATAATTGGCCAGGAATGTTAGTCCACAGGAGGGTTTATTTCGCCTCCAAAATGGGCAAATGAACCCTATGGTGCCCAAACTCCCCTCAGGTGGCCAATAACTCTCCCTATTTGGCTAAATTTTACTGTGTTTGAACTCGCATTGTTAGTCTAGTGGAAACTATCTGTGCACAGAGGTTATGACAAAACAGCATGCAATACTGTATCTAGAAGATAATAATCACCCAACTCCAATTTTTTCTCTCATCACAAGGAAATAACAGGATTTTGCTTCAATTTTGTGCCGGAAAATGAAATCATCTGCAGTTAGAAAAGTAATCAATCCAGAAAGAAAGGTACAGTCCTTTCCAAGAAGTTCCATAAACAGGATGTTTGCAGGAAGTGGAGCGCTTTGGAATAGATAAAGTAGGGATTTACCCTATGTGAGGAAATGAGAAGTTATTTTGACATAAGTTATTCCCATTTTCAACGAGGCATGGTAGCGGAATGTAATAAATTAAGTGCAGCATCATTTACTTTTGTATCAAGATGATTATCAAGGCACAAGTGGTTCTTAGAGCTCTTAGACTGTCAACTTCAATTTCAAGTTAGTCCTATCTCCTTGAAAATTGTGAAATTGAAAGCTCTTTCATTTTAACTGCAAAAGCCTGCATGTTGCATTTTTACCTCTATGTAGGGAGGTTTTGTTGCCAATGTTTCTGTATGTTTGCTTGTGTTTCCATTTATATTGCTTTGCACCTCGGGGACACTGGCAGGAAGTTAGGTCAAAGGTCCCACAAAAGCCCTAAAAAGGGTTATCTCATTTCCATTTCTTGCTATATAGGCATGTCTGCTGCCTTACTGGAGAGAGTAGGCAAATGCATAAACAGAACAATGAATGCACAATCATGAATAAAAACAAGACATTCTCCAATACTTGAAGTCCTACAAGTATAATGATGTCCTTCACATTACCTTAACTGGACAAGAAGCCCTCTGGGGTTTTCCCCACTTCACATGTATCTGTATCATATGTGCATCTATACTACTCAATCAGTATCTTATTGCCCTTGGGCATAATATACCAGCTTTACAGGCGTGTGCCTGCTTATATTATACTGGACAACTTGTCACAGCTAAGCTTGGCATGTCTACATAGTTTTGTAACTCATTGTGCCAGTGTCCAAGTAATAAAGGAACCATGGCAGATATCAATCAGACAAAGGCATAATATAAATGTAGGTTAGCTCTCCAGTTATGAACCATCTTGGTTAAGTTACTTCAATCTTTAGATGAGATAACTCTCACAATGCAAAAAAGGGTAAATGGCTGAAAGACTGCTTTGTTATAAGAGAAATACTGATTTGGCATACAAGTAGGATGGTACCCAGGCTATGAAAGACTGCTTTGTTATAAGGGAAATACTGATTTGCAACAAGAAATTAAAGATTTACTTATACACCTGTATATATGTTATCTCCCGTTTAGTAAGTACAATTCTAAGATGTATTTTGTATTTCTATTTTGTAGTTTGTAGTTGACCCTAGGAAAGTCGAGGTACTTTTGGTTGCGTAAAGTTTATTCTTGTGATAGCAGAAATCATCACAGTTACAATACCAATATGACGACCCTTTAACCCTTGCCATTAGTCATAAAGACTGGAGCTGGCTTTATCAGCCCGGCACAGCGACCATGTGTTTATCAACATCCCCCCAGCCTGGGCAGCAGCTCTGCCGCTCAAGTCAGAACTTCTTCTGACAGGAAGTCCTGATGCTGCAGGGGACAAGGAGGGTCTGCATGCCTGCTTCTGTGACGAGTAGCGAGCCTGTTCAAATCATTGATAATCATAGTTGGCCTGCTCTAATTCAACATTAAGCACTGTCGTTAAATTCTTCATTAAAGTACAATTTGTTGCTTTGATATTCTGCACAGCATGTTGTTTGTTTTCATCTGAATTCATCATTATTGACAAAGTCTATTTGCATCTCAATGCCAGATTGCCTGATGGTCTGTTTTGTCAGTGTTCATAATCATAGGCTTGGTCCCAGAAGGTCAAGTGTTGTTGGTCCTAAATTTATTGTTATAAGCAATAAGATTGCAAGGATATCCCCCGATGCAGACCCTCTACAATTCCCCAAACTTCCATTGACACATCAACTTCATCAATGCAACCAATCAAAGTTGCTCCCATCATATATCAATTTCAAATGCACTCCTCATTGCAGAACACAGTGGGTGGAAGGTGGAACTACGGTACAGTAACTGTACAGTCATAAGGAGCCACAAATGGATCATATTCACAATGCCCAAATGCAGAACTGGAAGACTTTTAAAAATCTAATCTTTTTAAGAATCGCTTCCTGCTTTCTGCAAATGCTTGAAAGAACAGTTCCTAGAAAATGGCATGTCTTCCTGACCTCTGTAATGATGGTGACTGTGTTGTTGTAGGCACATTCCTCTTTTATCAAATATAATTTTCATCTTTGAAACTGGTCCGTAAACCATCAAACACACTGCTTACTCTTTACATAGGAGTACACCTGGAACAGAATGCAGAATGTATAATGCATATAAAATATATTTTGTTCATAATAATATTATATACATGTAAAGAGCCAAGGTTACCTTTTCCATTTCCAGGAAGTCATCGTCAAGTTTTGTAGCCTCGGCCCCTCCTATCTTCTCTCGAATAGACTGAAACACAGAAAAAACAGGTTTAGTATCTGTAATCTTTTTTGGTTTTCTTTAACGCAGGGTAGATGAGTTCAGTGACTTCGCACTGCTTTACACTTACTGTATATGAATAATACATTACACAATCCAAGAAATGGTGACAATTACCGTAAGTCATTTTAACAGAAAAATCGTACAGCACTAACATCACTCAGCCTATTAGTATAACAGTGCTCTCTTTACTTATAGTGACTTATACATGTACTTTACATGTAAAATCTCAAATAAATTTACCCTTATACACCTCTCAAATACTTGATAGACATATAGATTAATAGTATAAATGTGTAAGGGGGCTTGGCTCAATATGCATGCAAGCCGTTGCGAAAAAACATTACACTTCATCTCAAGTATTTCCCTTTGGCTTCGACAGAAGATGAAGATATATAGGCACTTCATGGCCCTCAAGGTGGTACTGGGAGGTCATTGACCCCTGTATGCTCTGAGAGGCAGGTTGTATACAGAATGGGGTCAGCCTTATTAAGTTAACTGCCTTGCTAATACACTATGCTGATCCTTTTGATGGTCATAGTTATCAGACCATCTCCTCGCATAGCGATGACATAAAAACATAGAGATGAAATAATTTGCCAAAATTTCGTTCTGGGTATACTTACAATATCCTAGTATTCCTACAATATGTGCCTTTAAATGATAAGTTACATAAAAGAACAAGGTCAAAAAAGAAAATGTTTGAAATCCAACCCAATAACATCATCATCCTTTCCTAAAATTTGGTTCTAGGGACTCTCCAAATGCTGCAATAAGTGCCTTTAAAAGGATGTTATGCCGCAAAGGAACAAAAGGTTTAGAACCCAGCACTGTCGTACGGTTTCCATCGTAATTTGCAGGAGTGATAAGAGCTGATTGGCTCACACCTGCGCTCCACAAGATCAATACCTGCGCAGCCATTCCTTCTAAGGCACTGACAGCAACAGGGCTGGTCATGGCTGCACAGATCTCACGGGATAGCGGATATTTACCTCCATAAAAAAATGGGGGTATTGTTTTTGGTCTGTCTGTCTGTGTGTCTGTGTTTCCATAGTACAGGTATAAAGGATATTGGCCCTTAGATCAGGTTGTATTAGATTTAGGAAGGAGAGGGCTCTTGACCAGTAATCCCCGACCTGATAATGATGATATAATAGATATGGTTGAGATTTACAACATTTGTGGATGGATTTCAACTCACACCAGGTACTCTTTGAGGTCACGACTATGCATGTCTTGGAGGAATGGGAGCATATTCAAGCATATTCAAGGAAATTTCAATGAATGATGTTGGAAATTTTCTGGGTAGCAACATACTTTATTTCCAAGTTGTAATGACAAAAAAAACTGTACAAAAAAAAAGTGAAAATTCTGCTTGAACCAGTCTTTCTGATGGAAATCGAACACACAAATACAACAGCTCATCCTGAATAGAGAAGGCCATCATAGGCCCCATTTACACGTGCGTCGTTTATATGTGTTGGGCGTAAAACGACGCGCGGGCGCGCGCGGCGCCGCACTGTGCGTTTTGTACGACAGATTTTTTTATCGTGTAAACAACCTCCGCCACAGACGCGCGGCGCCGCGCGTCATTTTTCTGTGGCACGCCCAGGAGGTGCCATAAGAAAACCGCCGTCGTTTTACGCCCAACACATATAAATAACGCACGTGTAAATCGGGCCATAGTTAGTTCCAGAGACAATTCTCCCCCTCAGGAGACCACCACATGGTAAGCCAACCATACATAAATCATTAGGAGGTTGGCTTCTGTACAAGATAATCTCATTCTTAGGTATCTTAATTGGCAGAAATGCATAAAAGAAAACACAGAAGGCCAAATTGATGCTTTCCACAGTACTGTAAGTCTTGAAAATTTTGTTTGTGGTGGTTTTATTTTTATTTTATCTGAACATTACCTTGTTTCAAAATAACAAGGCATTTTCAATAGATCCTTCCATGGTCTCATCTACATTCTGTGGACATATGCAGCAGAAAACAGACAAATGTCTGCTTGCCGAGCTGCCTTTAAATTGCTTGAAATTACCATACACCCCCCCCCCACTTCTACCCCTTCTCTCTCAAGTATGAAGCATTTCTTATCCAGGATACAATTTTTGAAGGAAATAGTGTACATTTTTCACAATGACTGACCATGGAGGTAGAATTTTCTACCTCCATGAACTGACCAATTAACTTTACCATCTTACGCAATACTAGGCTAATTATAAAGACTGGTTTATTGTTGATGAACAAATAAATCCCAGGACCCACTGGCAGCCGAGATGCATTTGGCTGAATTGTTGGGTCTGGTTACAAAATACAACATTATTACGATTACAAATGGGCTATACAGCTGTTTACACACATAGGGATAAAATTTAACAATTGTTTAAAATCTTAAATACACCATACTATTATTACAAATATTGAAATATCTTAAAAGAGTAATTTGTCGAAAGGTTCTTTACAAAACGTTACAATAAAGATAAGATTTGATAAGTCCTCATTGGTACTAGTATTCAAATTTTGCAGAGACGAGCTCCCTCAAATTTAACAGTTAAGGCAGGAAAGGCGTTAAACCTGTTACTCAAGAGTTACTTTCACATTGAGTTCAACAGTTTCAGCATAGCTGGGACGGGACTGTTCAGGAAGCATTTGGTCCCAATAGGTAGCTGGTAGCAACGGGTATGTCTGAGTTGCCTGTGGTGTTTCTGCTTCCGTGCTGGGGGTAGCCAGGAGGAGAAGCGCAGATTTGCTGACATTGAGGGCAAAGTCCATGCACAAGTCCTGTCTGCACTCGGAAAGACGGAGTTCAAGGTGCTCAAGGGCATTGGTGTATGAGAGGTATTGTTGCCCCTTCATGATTCTGCAAGCGCGTTTTTGTATCCTCTCAATGTCGTCTGATTGTTTCTTGGTGAGTCCGGCACTCCAGCATGGAGCAGCATATTCTAGCATAGGTCTTATGTACCCGCAATACACAGAAGCAAGGTGTGATTGAGGGACTCCGGAACGTCTTATAGTCTGCCAAGGAGATAGAGCCATTTGCTGCTCTTGCTTACCATGGCCTCGACCTTGTCATTCCACCGTAAGTCCGAGCGAATGTGACGGCCAAGTAGTTTTGTCTGTGGGACGACAATTAACAAAGTAATCTAACTCTCTTAACTATTTATGTTACAGCACAATTCCGAATAAAGCTGAACCTAAAATTCACGCTTAGTCCTATAATCCTTGACAAGAATCAAACCACCCCCTATCAAAAAAACTGCACCATCAAGGATCGATACTGCAGCTAAGTCAGCCATCCCACATTACGTACTTGTATTTACCAGCCCAGCCTCATGACTCTGATTACAACATGCCTCACTGATAAACCCTTTCTCCTGACCAGTTATGGGTTAAAGGTGGGTGAGCCATGAAATCTCTCAGAACAGATCACTGCAGCATTAGCTTTACGACCTAATGTCCTTGCCGAAGGAATACCACCAAAGCATGTCCAGGACAAAAAGATTTTCAAACGGAAGTTACAGTGCATGCTGCAGTCCCAAGGAAAGCTCCCAATATCAACCTTGATCTTCATCTTTCCAAGACCTACAAACATACCAAATATCATCACAATATTCCCCAAACGTATGGTGAATCAAAATAGAGGAAAACACATTCAGACACACTCTATATAATACCTTGATTTTCATAGACTCTGGTACAAAATATCTGGATATGATGTGCACATTTTGAACTTGACTGTACTTTGTATTGACTATTGTACATTGTATTTGGAAAAGTGATACGATCAAGTTGTAAATCAGTTCAGAGTAGGCCTGCATTTAAAGTCCCAAGGGTACGATATAATCTCCAGAGTGATCCATGGGTCATGGTAGGATGGCATTTAATAGAAAAAAGTCATTTAACCGTATTGCTCACTCGGCTGATATATACGCCAATACATTTTAATGGCTCGTGCATTGCGTGGGCGCAGAGCATTTTCCTGTGTATCTAAGTAGTTCAAAAGCAAATAGCATTAATGATTTGGGTTCTGACTACCTAAACTTGATCAGAATGTTAAGTGGTTTCTCTTCTAGGTGAATTGATAAGCAGTAGGTATATCAATGCCCATCAATGCACTCCAAATTTTCCACTAGCTTGATCAGAGGAATCACATCAATCATCTTTAAACATAACGTCATAAGCTGTTAGAAGTGAAGGGAGGGAACAACCTTTTTTTGTCATGTTTCAGACATTTCCATATTTCCAAACAGTGATGTGATTGCACTGCTATGTGGGTGGACATTCTCAGGACATTCTACAGTCTTAGACACCTAATTTAGCAGCTGAGGTTTGCTGTGCATACAAACACACAGGTGCAGTATGGCTATGTAGGACATGATACCAGGACTCATCCTCAGCACTAGCCTACTCTCAGGACTGTTGGATTTCAAAATGGAAACTGACAAAAGAAATACATTGTGTGTAGAGGTAAGGTAGCCTTGGATCCAGCCTCCTTCAGCTGTAATCTGCTACTGACAGTAAAGCTTAGACTGGATCGTCATATGTTTACCCAGGCTCCTATATTTCCTCCCTCAAAAGTAGATACCGGTAGTTGACGTTACCTAATTACCTCCGGGGAAGGAGATATCCTTCCGCGAGGAGGTTTTACTATTGTTCGAAACATTTCTGTCAGCAGCTGTTTCTCGCGATCGGCTGGACGGATTTGTCTGTGGTTCGGTATACGTATTGCTGTTGGGCTGCAGATGATGCAGAACGTTTTTGTTTAATTGCATATGTGTTTATGGGCGTCGAAATAAAAGGTTTTTAAGTGCTCCGGACACCCCCGCCATGCTGAAAATGGAATTTACCATGTTGTTAAGGAATGGGGAGGTTTCAGTTTTGGGTCTTACCATTCAAAAGGGGTCAAACAGAGGGGTGTCTGGTTCCGATAAAAACGTTGGGTGACGGCGCAGCAATGACGGCGC